AAGTTATTTGATGTCAAACGGTCAACGTATATGGTTATGAAAATGATTATGCAAAATCGTGTAGCTGAATATTTAAATATGGAGGGCAGGCGAGGTGACAAAACAGCTTTTGCTAAATATAAAATATTTACCACGGTGGCAGGTAAACATATTTAAAAATTTTATATATATTTTTAAATTTATCTGTACCCTATTATTTATTTTTGAATAGATTGCATAAAAGATTTCTTTCCTCATTCATCACTCATTGAAGTTAAGGGACATGTCAGTGATTGGCTAAAACAAGCTCCAAGACGAAAATAAAAGTTTAAAGCAGCAAATACTATTATATTCAGTTGAAATTTTTTTTTAATTTTTCAAAATTGTATATGTTATAATATAATATATATATGTATGCATACTATTCATACAATCTCATGTAGTCATGTCTTATATTTAAAATTAATTTTATACTATGAGAAATATATTATAAATTTAAAAAAAAAGTTCTTACTCAACAATTTTTAAACCACCCCATAGCTTTTTACTTAATATTTTTTTTTATAAAAAAAAAAATAACAGCCCAATGCCATTGCTTTTTTATCTATATATTTTACTCATGGCTACTCCCGGCTACTCAAATCTTACACTGTATATAAACGAATTATAATTTTTTAGGTATATATCAAAAATGAACTATATGAAACCAAAACTGTATATATATACTATATAGTATAATATAATATAATTTGTATACCAAAACTAATTATTATAAAAACGAATGATATACAAAAAATCTACGTATAATATCCTAAAAAATATAGGTACATATCTTACACTGGTTTTAAACGAATTGACTACCAAAAATATACGTATAATATCCTAAAAATATACTTATCCTACACTGAGTTTAAACAAATTATACACCAAAAATAAACGGTATTAAACCGAAACTATTCATTATATAAACCAAAGTTATACAAGAAATCTACGTATAATACACTAAACAATATACATATCTTAAACTCGTTCTAAACGAATTATATACCAAGTACAAACGGTATTTAAATCTATGTTACACGATCTATAAACCTAAATTATTCGTTGAAAACACGAAGATTATTCAACAAATATACGAATAATTTTCCGAGAATATTAAAAAATTATTCGTTTTTATACGGAACATACACGTATGTTTTACGTTAAATAAACCACTTATCCATGTATATTATACGTTGAATATAAGTGAAATAGTCATTGTTTGACCCAATCATATATTAGAAATATCCTAAATCTATACGTATATTACACGTACATACGTATAGGTATATACGTTTAATATACGTAGAATATTCGTAGATTTGTTTACTGGGTATTGATCAAGTAGTGGTCAAATCAAGTATTTTTTTAAGCAAAATGTATAACTTCCAAAACTCTGATTATATAGGTACCAAATCACCAATCATAAGACCAAAGCATCGTACAAAACACCACATTTCCGAAGCTGACATTTTACATATTGTGGGGTTGTTACTTTTTAATGAGTGTTCATTTATTAGTGGTGGTCGGTTTTTAATTTCACTTGGTCCATAATCAAAAAACTGAATTCTATTATTTAAGGCTTCTAAACTAAAATACTTGAATTCTAAAATAAAGTTTCTAATTATACTTGACATGTCATAGTTACATGCACCTTCAAGTAAATCATGCATTAAATCAACAGAATAGTTATAAACAACATGAATTGAATTTACATTATTCCAAATACATGATTCAACAATTCCAGTTAGTGCAACATTTTTAGTATTAACATTCATCATTATAATTATCAATATTTCTCAGATTCTCGTTATTTTGGGAAATTTGTGCATGGCACTCCTCTTTTGAACTATGACAAAACCTACAAGGATAATTAGAAACGAAACATTCAGTGAACCCCAAAATACTATGTAAACCTAAATAAATTGTCCCCAACTATTAAAGGTAAACTGAAATAAATTTGATATCGTTGATTATCTACAAATACATTAATACCAGACTCTTCTAAAAAAGTTAATTTCTGATATTAAATGTTTAAAGAGATTTTGATTACCAACTTGTTTTTTATCTAAAGAATTAAACAAATAAATAAAAAATATATTTTCTAATTTTGATGCGTATTCTAGAAATAATAAATCATAATTAATGAATTTAGAAAAGCATTTAAAACATTGAGGCATTTTTGAACTGATATTTTTTAATTAATTGAATATAAATGTAACAATATACTAGGTACAAAATACCTACAAAATATTATATAAAGAGATTATAAAAAAATTAAATGATTTAAAGAAAAGCAGTTTATGCACAATTATTTTAGTTTAAAATCGTTAATAATATTTTCAACACATTGGTATTTTTTTATCTTCTTTTGTAATGATACCATAAAAAAATTTTTGAATAAATTCCCGTACGTTGTCTGATTGTACAGGATATTTTAAATTTAGTGTAAAAAAACTTTTGAAACAAATATCTACTGCCTTTAGTGGCGTTTCTGCTTTAAATGTATACTTGTTTATTATTACATACGACGCTGTTACAATCAATTCATTCTGAGGATCTGAACAAAGCAAAGCAACATATGGCTGAACAGTTAACCCAAACGAAGTAGCCTTAGTAGTTTTGATGCTAATAATTCCTTTCAATTGAGCAACATTCTGCAAAAATAAAGTATTTATGTTAAGTTCAATGATCAACAAATTATTATTATAATTACATTACTTTTAGAATGACGATGAAGCCTTCTGAAATTTCTTCATTTGATGGTCTCTAACTTTCTTTTTTTCTTTTTCTTGTTCCACCAACATTAGACGATATGCTTACAGTTAATGATGGGAATATCCTCGGAATCAAGATCAATGCAGCAGTAATATGATTTGATATGTGCAAAATAGGAATTTATAATAATATACAAATAAATAAACATCTTAATAACATAAATTCTTCTATTGCCTGGTGAAATGGATGTATTTAGATCTTCCAATACCAAATAGTTCGAGTCTTTCACTAACTTAGGCTTAAACTTTTTTATATAATTTGGCAGAATTCCGACCAAACTAGGAAACTTATCATAAAAGATAACTTCTTTTTGGGAATACATTTCATTAAAATCATGTTCAATCTAGAATTATAAATTATTATTGTACTATTGTAACATTCATAATGTTAAACATACATATTTTTAAGATTAATTAGAACATACAAAGTTTTACTAACCAACTGATAACCTTGGCCATCACTAATAGATGGAAATTCTTTAAAATAATATAGTTCTTCTTTGCAAGTCATAATTTCTTTGTACCTATAGTTCCTAGTACTGTTCCATTTATCAACAACAATATTCATGGGTTCGTGATTATTTTTTAGCCACATTACATCATTCTCAATAACTCCTAAATATCATGTTAATATTAAAAAAAAACTTTTTTATAGATAGGTACTTGTATAAATAATACAATAATATATGAACCTTGATCAGCAATATTATCTGTAGTATGTATGATAGTCGCAGACTCATTTAAGACGACATTATTGTTTAATTTCCGAATATCTTTTTGAATATTTGAATAGCGATCCCACAACTTTCCTCTATTTGGTCTTATATGTCCATTCTTTTTCTTGTAGGGTATGAAGTATGTACTAGCGGACTCATTCGGAAAAAGTTGAACAATATTATGAGCAAGTTGCTCTATTGTTCATACAGACAACTTTTCTTTCGGACTCTTATGAATGTGGTAGTCTATAATTATTCTTACAAGCTTGTTCCTCATATTAAAAGTAAAATAATTATTTAATTGATAACTTTCATATATGTGTTACACTGTTTCCCTTCATGAGATGAAATTAAAATTTGTTTTAGTTTTTGTGCAAAAGGTTGGAGAACAGTCTGATAAAAATAATCAACAGTTATAATTTATGAAAATACATTGTTTTCTAACATACCTAGGTATGTTCTTAAAAACTAACAACTCAAAAATAATTATACCTCCACATTGTTTGAATCACTAAGTTGAATATCCTGAATTTCAATATCGTTAATCACTTCTACTTCGGTTATATTAAAATCCAAATGATCTGTCTCAGATTCGTTGCTACATACCATTACATTTACTATAGCTTCCTATGAAAACAAAGATGTTATAGTATTCTAATATTAAATTATATTTGATTTAAGTAAGTACCTACTTACTAGGTACCTCAATTTGCATATTTTGCCTTAAAATATTCAATTGTTTAAGAAATTTTAAACGTAGGTACTCCAACTTTTGGTATTATTTCTTTGATCATATCATCCGGTAATGTCATTAATGAGCTTTTGTCAATTTGATGTTCTAATTTTAAAGTATTAAAATATTCATTATGTTATAAATTTGAAAATAAGTTGGAAATATTTTTTTCAATATCTGTCAACAATAACAGATACCTAGGTCTAATATATGTCTTAATTGAAAAAAATCTAAAAATATGGAAAAAAGTTAAAAATAAAGCTAAAACTAAATATTAAATTTACAATTTTGTTTATAGAAGATAGATAACATAGTACTAAAATTATGACAAACAGTTTAAGTACATCAAATTAATTCTGTATTATTACTTCTCAGTTTTGTAATATATCTACTTGTATTAAATATACATAGGTACAATTTAATATTATGTATGTACTAAGAATAACTTGAATTAAACTAGTATACCTATTTCATTTTAAATTTCTAAATACAAATATCGATACCTAATCATAATTATTGAACATATAGCCCTGAAAATTATACTATACGTCTATACTCAATGATCAATACCAGTGTTGGGTAGTAATGTAAAGCAAATTCCAAATTACCTAAGCCAGTGGTTTTCAAACTTTTTTTATACACGGCACACCGTACACTTCAAAAAATTTTCACGGCACACTGACCTTTTTTTAGATGAACAAATTCTATTCCAAAAAATATTTTTACAATTTCACGGCAAGCGGGTAAAATTAACTGTTAACCTATTGTATGTGGTTTCATTGTTTTAGCCACAAGCTCTGCTACTACATAGCTCGCTTCTTGAGATTTATCAGAAATTTTTACAATTGTTGTCATATTTTTACTTTGTTTATTTTGTGAATTTAATAAACGTTGAAAATATTTTATATTTTTGTCGATCAAATGTGAATGTTTAGTAAACAAATGACGTTTAAGTTTACTGGGTACCATTGCTTCATTTGACAATTTTTCACCACATACAACGCACCATGGACGAGGATTATCTGTATCACCAGTACAAGAAAATCCCATTTTTAAGTAATCTTCGTGATACTGACGAATATTACTGTATTTTCTTTTTTCTTTTGGTGGTTGACTTACTGAGTACTGACGCATTATTGTCAACAGAACGAGTAACAAATTTATCCATGATTATAATAATTATAAATATATGTAAATGTATATCACAAATATATTTTTTTTAAATACTCGTATGCTATTACAATACAATTAAGAGACAAACTACTCTACGAAGACGACGTTAACGTCCAGGCCGGTTGTGACGGATATACTGCCAGGGGTCTAACAATATAACGGATAACCTATACATTTTATAGTTCAATAGTTATCTGAGATTACTATTTTCTTATATCGCAATTAAATGCAATCGGTAATTTATGGAAAAACTAGCTTTAAGACATGAACTGTCACTATATGTAAGATCTTTATCATAAATCATAGCTGCCTTTAAAATAGAGTCATCATCGTAAAAACTAAAATTTGATGGAATCAGTCCTTCCAGTGGCATAACTTCAGATAGTCTGTCATCGAATCGTGTATGCATAGCTTGAATTATATAATCAAGAAATGGCAAATACACTGAAATTTTAAAATATGTTTCTGGATCTGTTACATTTATATTGACTCGATGAATTTGTCGACCACAAATTCGTGGCATACTTATTTCAACATCAACTTTTGCTGCAAATTCGACGATTTCTTTAAAAATGTTTTTAAAGTTTACATCTGCATTTTCTCGAAGTTCCTCTAATGCGCATCGAATCACCATTATATCAGACAATGCCTTTGACAAATCTTCCTGCTTACTTTGCAATGATATACTAAGTTGCAATGTATATGAAAAACCAGTAACAGTGACTTCAAGTGACTAAAAAATCACTTTTCATAATAGAATTTAAATACAATGTGGCTTTACACGACGTTTCAGGATTAGTATCATTCTGTAGATCTTCAAGTGCATGAACTAAGTATATGTATAAACTCTTAAACGTTATCAGTGCATTATGACGTTCCACCCACCGAGTTTCACACAGTTTCTTCAATTTCATTTTTTTACTTTGTTCAGAATTACTAGTTGTGCCTGCTTCAATAACTGACTTTAGTTTATCAGCTCTTTTTGCAGATGCACTAAAAAAAGTAGCAACACAAGACACAATTCCCAACATATTTTTAATAGATGGAACATAACAAGCTTTAGAAAGACAAAGATTTAATGAATGGCTGAAACAATGTGTGTAGAATGCAAGTGGTTGGTCATTTTGAATTAGAGCTTGAGCACCATTATTTTTCCCAGACATATTTGCACCACCATCATATCCCTGCCCTCTGAGGTTATTTATACTTAAACCAATATCTTTAAGTTTATCTAAAATTGAATATTTTATTGCTAAACCTGTTGTTGACTTCATTTCAACAAAACCTACAAAATCTTCTCGAATAATCCAGCAAGATGTATCTACGTATCTTATACACACAGTAATTTGTTCAATTGTACTTATATCTGTCGTTTCATCCACCAGTATTGAAAAAAATTTACATTTTTTGATTCGTTCTACTATTTTTCCTACTATCACATCTCCAACCGCAACTATGATTTCATTCTGTATTCTAGAGCTAATCATTGTACAATTTTTTGGTGAAGTTTCAATGTGGCTCAGAAGTGCTGTATCACCAGATTCAACTCGAAACGAAAGAAGTGCACGAAAAACTCCTTGTTCGCCATTCAAACAACTACTTCTAATTTAATTTGATGATAACAAACCAGATTCTCTATGCCCACGTAATGGCAAATTGTTTCTTGCACAAAATAGAATTGTTTTTATAATTGGTACAATTCTCTTTCGATTGCTCTCAATTACTTGTTGTTTATGTTTATCAATAAGAACGTCAACAGCTTTACTACCTCCACTCTCATAATTTATTAAAAAGTTATTTGCTCTTTGTGCTGACAGAAGATGGTATTCCTTTTTTTCATGGTTTTTTAATTCATTAATGGCATCTTTAAATTTCACCATGGGTTCAGTAACCAATTTTCCCAAACGCTTAAATATAGTATAATATGTTGTACGTTTTAATATTTAATTTTCTAAATTACCATATTTATTTAACAAGTTAACTGCCTTTCAAATTTCACTGATCTTGCCACGAACGCCTTGAGTATCAATTATGATTCTCAGTCTACTTTTCCAAGTCGCCCTAATATTTTATTGTCAATTTGCCACAATCGCCTTGAGTATCAAATATGCTTCTCACCAATATTTGCCACCCTTGCCTTGAGTATCATATATGATACTCACTTTAATATATATCGATATATTTCAAAAAATATAGTGTGACCAACATGGCTAGACCAAAATATTCCCATAGACCGAGATTCGTCTGATTAGTGAGAAGCATATCCGATACTCAAGGCAGTTGTGGCAAATGTAGTTAAAATGTACGAGACAAAACTAGCAAGTTAGTCGTGTATCAAATATGATACTCAAGGCAGTTAACTTGTTAACAAGGTTTATTTATTATTTCAATATTTAAAATTAGGATTATCTAAATAGCTGTATAAAAAGTGTTACAAACCATAGTTATTAAGTAAAGTTTCATGCATTATTTACCTGATTTGCTATTCCACCACCAGAAAAAGCAAACAATATACATTGTTTACAGTATGCGCCTTCTTTTTGATGACTATAAGCTAGCCAAGGAAATGTTATTAAATATTTGTACTGAAACTTTCTTTTTTGCTTTCCTTCTATCTTCTCTGGAAATGCAAAATCAGATGGAGGTATCCAAGCAAGCTTTAAGCATTTAGCAATTTCAGATCGTTTCAGTCTTTGGTTTGATAAAAAGCAAGCAATATCATTTGTATAAATTTGTGAAGACTAAAAACAAATATCAAGAATAATTAAATAGTGATATTATAAGGAAGTAAGATATTCTATTAATTGTATTTATTTAAATAGTTTGGTAATTATAGTACCAATGTTAGTAGCCTGTAAGTACATACTATTAAAAAAAAAAAAAAAAAACTAATAAGCAGTAATCCATTAATAATATTTATAGCAATAATGCAATAAGCCAATAATTATAAGAATATTAATTAAATGTTATCTTAATATAATACACCATAAATAAGAATTATCTTACTTACCTATATGGCTATATGCCTGTATATATTTGTGTATTTGCATAGGTAGCATTGTTGATTTTCACAATAAAACTAAGCATTACAGGTTAAAAATAACCTGTGTCATAATCAATGTATGCTTTACTTACAATTAAATGAAGAAGTCATAGGTAATAACCATACATTAAGTAAATAATAAATAATATTTAACAATTAACAATCAAATTATTAATTAATACATACCAAATTAATAGATGTAGAATCAGTTGTAGATGTGTTGTGTACCGCATGATTAGACATAGATTTAGAATCATTATTATCATCTACAGCAGTAGACACAGAATTAATGCAATCATCCTATAATTGTTATAATAAAAGTTCATATTGTTTAATTGCTTAAAATTTAAATATATAAATTACATTACTTACAGTTTTTTTTTTTTTGAACTGAAAATAGAAAACAAACTCGTCCTTTTTTCTGACATAATGAAAAATTTTAAAATCAAATGATATTGTCAAAACTGTAACAACTTACACTTAAAAACAATTACAAAAAACGTTTACAAAATACCTAGACAGTTGACACTCAAGAGAAAAAACTAATCAAAAACGACGGAATTCTGTGCAAACAAAATTACATAACAAAAAATATTTCCATAAAGCTATATAATATCATTATAATTGTTTGGTAGTTACGTAAGCAACACCAACACTGCGATAAGCAGATGCCGCCTTCCCGCTACTCCCGGTAACCGGATCAGTTCGTGCCCGCACCTAGCCGTTGCCAGTGTCACGCGACGTGAATGTTGTCGTTGGTTTTTTGTTGTTTTTACCATGTTGTTTTTTATTGTGCGCTGTGCCTCGTAAAACCTGTCACTGTCCTACCCATCACCGTCGAAGTCACCGTCCTACCCATCACCGTCGAGGTCACCGTCTTACCCATCACCGTCGAAGCCACCGTCACCGAGGTCAACGCGTCACCACCGGCATTGGCTGCGTACGTCTTTATTCTAAAACTTTATTATAATTTGTTGTGTTATTTTTATTCGTCATCCCCGACGAATCCCCCAGATTGGCCAGTCCCTGTGTAACCCTTTACTTATACCTAAATTTGTTTGTTTTGAATTTTTAAAAAATAGGAGTCCGCCGTTCACGGCAAAAATCAAAATACAGTTGTTACCATTTATTTAAACAATACAGTCCACTAACCTAAACTGAGCTAACATTTGGTCCTTCGTCCTAGGATATAAAAAAAATTACTATTTAATATTCTAAGTGATTTGAATCATTGTTGGATTTTAGACATTTAATCGTTAGTTGTATGATCATTGAATTAGACCATTACGTAATAATTATAATATGACAATTGTAAGTGTCTACTGGGTATTATGATCGATTTGGACTTTGTACTCATTAGGCTCTAATTCTGTTACCACTGCTATCGCTAGGCGCCAAGCGGTCTGCGCAAATCTTCACTCCCCGTACCGCGAGAGCAACGTGGATCCGCACTACCTGTACGTAATTATAAACGGTGCACAATACGTTTGGTAAAAAAAAAAAAAAACTAGGTCACGTATTTATACACGGACAATTTATCGTTGCAATTTCTTATACACATACAATATATAACAATGGGCGTTTATGAAGAAGCAAAAGCTCGCATATCAAACTTGACAAATAGAACTCGTCGTGTGTATGACGCAGGGGAGGCAATCAAAGGAGATTCGAACGATAAGAAGGCAAAAATTAAATTTAAGATAATGTACGCTACTCTAGAAAAGTTATCTGAAGATTTTGAAACGCAGCTGTCGACAATTATTCGATATCAGTGCAAAGGAGCAGCAGAGCCGGACGACAAAGGGGAAACAGAAAAATGGCAAGCTGAATTTGAAGAGTTGTATGTAGGCTGTAAAATTCTTGCAGATGAGTACCTGCCCGAGGCTGCGGTTGAGTCAACGCTAAATAGAACTTTTTTCGAACAAAAACCACCTAATTCTACAAATACCTACTTTCCAGTAGAAAAATTGTCTGTTCCGATATTTAGGGGAAGTCCATTAGAGTACACAAGTTTTCGAAACATGTTCGATATTCTGGTACACGAAAGTAATATGTCACCGGTACTTAAATTTGGATATCTGAAATCCAGATTGGAAGGAAAACCCTTAAAACTAATCGGAAACCTGATGCTGACAGCCAGTAATTATGAGCTAGCCTTATCGCAGCTAAATGCAAGGTATTCAAACCGTCGTATCATCGCCGAGAGTCACCTTGACGAGTTGTCTAAAGCACCTAATGCATCACACGATGATGGAGGTTCAATAAAAACACTATTGAACACCATCGTTGAGTCCACCGGAGCATTACGAAACTTATCATATGCCGTAGATCAGTGGGATCCAATTCTGTTATATTTGTTACAAAAGAAGTTGGACCAAAATCTCAGGACACAGTGGGAGTTGTTAGTAGACACTACTGAAGATCCAACGGTATTAGAGTTTATCACGTTCCTCACCAAGTACAGTAAATCAGCTGCTGTATGCCAAGCCAACGACAAACCTGCCACGGTCAGAGGAAACAAGTTATCAAAAACCACCGCTTTATTCAGTGATCGCACAGACCAACGACACACATTTACACCGAAGAGAACT